ACAAACAAAATGAATATATCATAAAACACCATGAAAGTAAACTAAAAACAAAAATGGATTCAATAAATAGGATTTTACCCAACAAGCTTAGGTGTCATTTTGTATAGGTAATTGCTGGTCTAAAGAAAGTTAAGTTTCCATATAGATTTGAGATAGCATCTTTTCTTTTTTAAGAGCTAAATAACTGAAGGAAGTTAATAAAACCTTGTAGGAGGCACGAAAGACAAAAGGAAACATTAACAGATTAGACTAAGAATAAATAAAATCTAAATAGTACTGAAAATATTTCCATTAGCTAGTTTCATTATAGTCAGTAATATCCTCTGTTGAAATTAATTTACACCTTAGCAGTTCTCAACTGCACAGTGCCTTTACTCTTAGGCTGTTTTGTTGTTCTCCTCCTTGTCACAGGGTCAGGGGACCAGCCTGAACCTGGAAAAGTCTTGGAGAACACATATCTTGAGTCTAAAGTGGGAGGGCCAATCCCGTCTCCAGAGTCAGCATCTCAGTGAGCTCAAACAGCATGTGACAATTTACCAATATAATTAATATTACCCTGACATTATAACTAGGAAGCACTCAGGGAATGATGGGGCAGGAACATAAGCAAGCATAGAGCATCTGAGTATCAGAGAGGGAAATAACTCTATTTCAGAGAAAAACAGGAATCACAATGTAGAAAGGGGAGGAGTTAAGACCAGTAGAGATGGCATCTGAAGCCTCTCACTCAAGTAGACTATTACTTTTACCTCTCATTATTTGTAACTATGTGTTGGTAGTAGCTTGTCTTTTGTAAGGTTTTGGCCCTGGAGTAGAGCAAATTTCCGTGTGCTTCACAGGTCTAGTCATCACAAAGTGTCAGCTTCCCTTTGTACTTTGAAGGCAAATGGCTAGAAAAACTTTAAGTACCCTTTAGAAACTAACAAATATATTATGTAAAACTGTAAGAATTTAAAATAGTCATTTTTAGAAATTAGCAAATACCATATAAAATATGTTAAAATCCAAAATAATTTCTTTAATATCACCAGATAAAGATGTCATGCAAACAGTGTCAAAACCTAAAAATAATTCCTTTTAAAATATCCATAAATATGTCAAACAATGTAAAAACTTAAAACAATCATCTTTAAAAAACAGTAAATATACCATAGATGAAGTTAAACCACCAAGTAATCCCCTTTAGAAACAGGCTCTAAACAATGTTAAAATTTAAACTCCCATTGTGTAGATCTGGCATTATTCCCTTAGTCTGAACTAGAAATGCATTGCTTATTTTATGACATCATCAAGAAACGAAAACAAAAATAAATTACAAGAGAATCCTAGGCACCCGTGGTGTACCGGTAGGTTAGGCTTGATATAAAAGAAGAAAGTGGCAGGTTCTCTTACATCGACCACCTAAGAGTCACTCTGTAAAAAGCAACAACTTCCCTCCTCATCTCCGCCATCTCGGTAGCTGCGAATGAGCAACCATGCGTGAGTGCATCTCCATCCACGTTGGCCAGCTGGTATTCAGATCAGAAACGCCTGCTGGGAGCTCTACTGCCTGGAACTTGGCATCCAGCCTGATGGCCAGATGCCAAGTGACAAGACCATTGGGGGAGGAGACGACTCCTTCAACACCTTCTTCAGTCAGACAGACGCTGGCAAGCATGTGCCCAGGGCAGTGTTTGTAGACCTGGAACCGATGGTCATTGATGAAGTTTGCACTGGTACCGACCACCAGCTCTTCCACCCTGAGCAGCTCATCACAGGCAAGGAAGATGCTGCCAATAACTGTGCCCATGGGCACTACACCATTGGTGAGGAGATCATTGACCTTGTCTTGGACCGAATTTGCAAGCTGGCTGACCAGTGCACAGGTCTTCAGGGCTTCTTGGTTTTCCACAGCTTTGGTGGGGAACTGGCTCTGGGTTCACCTCTCTGCTGATGGAAAGAAGTCCAAGCTGGAGTTCTCCATCTACCCAGGCCCCCAGGTTTCCACCACTGTCATTGAGCCCTACAATTCCATCCTCACTACTCACACCACCCTGGAGCACTCTGATTGTGCCTTCATGATAGACAACAAGGCCGTCTATGACATCTGTCATAGAAACCTTGATATCGAGCATCCAACCTACACTAACCTAAATAGGTTGATAGGTCAAATTGTGTCTTCCATCATGGCTTCCCTGAGATTTGATGGAGCCCTGAATGTAGACCTGACTGAATTCCAGACCAACCTGGTGCCTACCCCGAATCCACTTCCCTCTGGCCACATATGCCCCTGTCATCTCTGCTGAGAAAGCCTACCACGCAGAGATCACCAGTGCTTGCTTTGAGCCAGCCAACCAGATGGTGAAATGTGACCCTCGTCATGGCAAATACATGGCTTGCTACCTGTTGTACCGTAGTGATGTGGTTTCCAAAAATGTCAGTGTTGCCATTGCCACCATCAAGACCAAGTGTACCATCCAGTTTGTGGATTGGTGCTCCACTGGCTTCAAGGTTGGCATCAATTACCGGCCTCCCTCCCATTGTGGTACCTGGTGGAGACCTGGCCAAGGTACAGCGAGATGTGTGCATGCTGAGCAACACCACAGCCATTGCTAAGGCCTGGGCCCATCTCGACCACAAGTTTGATCTGATGTATGCCAAGCGTGCCTTTGTGCACTGGTATGTGGGTAGGGCATGGAGGAAGGGGAGTTCTCTGAGGCCTGTGAGGACATGGCTGCCCTGAAGAAGGATTATGAGGATGTTGGTGTGGATTCTGTTGAAGGAGAGGGTGAGGAAGAAGGAGAAGAATACTAAAGTTAAAATGTCACAGACGTGCTGCTTTTACAGGGAAGCTTATTCTGTTCCAACTCTGAAAGTTGGAGTCTGATCATGTAATTTGTATGTGGCAGTCTGTGCTCTCATACAGTTACTGACCAATGCTTTAAAACATGAGTGCTTTGTCATAAGCCCAAGCTGTTCATGTCTCTGCGTTTTAAATAAAATATTCCATCTTAAAAAAAAAAAAAAGAAGAAGAAAGTACCCTCAGGTGTGTGTGTGTGTGTGTGTGTGTGTGTGTGTGTGTGACCCAAATAGAAAACCAAATCAAAGGAATCCATGTTTCTCACCAACCAATGTAGCTGTAAATGTGAAGCCAAGTTCTCGGGATCTTTTAATTTCTAGACAGAAACTATGCTGGAAAAGAAACTCATGAGGGCAGCAGAAGGAACAGGGCACATAAATCAATGTGTTGGTGGTCCGAAAGCATATGACTCACCTGAGCAGTGCCTGTGACTTTTATGTATAGTGAAATTTAAAATGGTTAGGTCTAGTTAGAAAAGTAGGCACCTGAGCACCAGGTGCTTAATGCCCAAGAGGGCCTAAGATCAAAATTTCAAGGCCCTTTGCCTGAGAAAAAGTTTAGGAGGAAAAAAAGGCTTTTAAAACGTTTTTTGTTTGTGTGTGGGGCAAGCCGCCTGAAATTCTTTAAATGATCCAGCAAAGTTGCCCAGCTGGTTTAGGCTAGTTGAGTCAAAACAGGGAGAAAGGGTCCCCTAAAGGGTTCTTAGCCACATTTATAAGAGAATTTAAGAATGGGCCCAGCTGGAAATGTTTATCATTTTATTCGAATGTTAAAGAAAAAATTCCCAGGGCAGGCAAGCTGGCAATCTAGGCAGCTTCCTGGAGGGGGTGAATAGCAGGAAGGGAAAAAAAGCCTTGGGGTCATGCAGGTTTAGAGCCTGCATGGGAGGTCAGACACTTGGCGGGGCAGGCAGGCACACAGCAGGGAGTAGAAAGCTTTAGTATGGGAGAGGGAGAGAGGAGAAGGATACAGAGCATTTGTATATGTTGGATTGAACGGTATCAGAAATCATCCTGAGTAAAGTAGGGAAGAAAGGCAGTGGAAGAGGACAAAGACAGGAAAAATGATGGAAGACCCTTCCAGGCCCATGGCAAAGGAGGCGGGGAGGGGGCGAGATGCCAGCAGGGGAACTGAGGTAGTGAACAGATGAAGTAGGTCCATCATGGAGACCACAGTGCTGTCCAGGAGTGACGAAAATCAATGGGAAAGGAGATCAAAAGAAGACACAGGCAAGGTAGACTGTGTTCCCCAGTGAGGAGAGTTAGAAAGAGGTGAAAGGGCTGGGGAGAGGAGGAGAGAGAGAAAAGAAGGGTGGGAGTGTACTTGAAAGCCAAGTTGGTGTTGGAGAAGTCCAGGTGGGTCCCTTGAAGTAAGAACCGGGTTTTGGCACCATCTGATAGATAAAAAGTACCCATATGATGAATAGGGTTGATCAGGAGAAAGCACTAGGGCACGGACAAGCAAAGGAACATATGGGACAGATTCCCTTCCAGGCAGGGAAAATGTCTGTCCCCGGTCGTGAGCTGGGGTCTGCTTCCTGCAGAAGGTGGGAAGATGTATTTTTTTTTAAGTTGGGTTTGGGGGGGTGGGGAGTGGGAAAGCTGGACTGTTAACACCTGTCCTCTTTAGAGATCAAAGGGGAAGCCTGATGTGTTGGCCAAACAGTGGAGAAAAGTCTGCTTCTCTTGACTTCAAAGACCAGGGTGCTCATCAGCTCAGTTCCCTTTTCTCAGGAGCTTGAGAAGTCCTTGAGAACCTGTTGGTGAGGGAGGCGGGGCTATCTGAACCTTAACACCTTGTAAATTCTAAAACAAAATGCAAGTATTATTGTTGAGCATAATCACCTGTTCAGGGACTTTCAAGGTTGGAGGAGCTATTGATTCCCTTTCCCTAGACCTTAAAACTAAGCCTGCATACTTGGCATTCTCCCTCTTCAAAGTCTTAGTTCTCAGTCATCAACCAGCTTGTTTCTCCCATTTCCTCATAGAAAGCCCACATGGCGAGCTCACCTAGCAAGGCTCATTTCTTCAGCCTTCTCAGTATAGTGAGATAACAGACATTGGTCAGTCTTTACTTGGAGAAGAGGCTTCATTTTATGAAAAAGCTTAGCTTCTGTAAAACCTCTAAGGAGTGTTATATTTATCCCCTTTTCCCTTTCAGGAACACACATGCTCACAGCAGCCATTACAATCCCATCATGCAGCAGCCTGCACTGTTGACTGGTCATGTGACCCTTCCAGCAGCCCAGCCCTTAAATGTGGGTGTAGCCCATGTGATGCGGCAGCAGCCAACCAGCACCACCACTTCCCGGAAGAGCAAACAGCACCAGTCATCTGTGAGGTAGGTAAGGAGAGCCTCAGAGGCCAGGATCTCCAGAAGATGAAATGCTAAAGAAACATTACTTCAAGCAGGGAGTATCAGTGCACCACCCTGTGTTGTACAGGGAGAAAGTCTTCTTGAAGGAGCCAGGGATACATCTTACAGCACATGGAATGCTCCAGGGTTTGCCGGAAGTAGTCTTCTCTGGGCTCTGTGCAGGTGTAATCCTGCCTCTCCCTAGTTCCCATCTCTCTGGCACTCTAGGATGGGGACCTAGAGTCATAGTGTGCACAATACCTTGACTGCTTCAATCCTTTTTATTGAAAAAAAAATTTATTTATTAAAGCACAGTAAAAAATATTTTATTTGTACCCTCAGGGATGGTTACAAAAATGCTGCAATGGGGGAGGGAAGTGGGCTCAGTTCTGAACAGCGTGGACAATGAGACAGCCAGGGAGCAGTGTCTAGGTCACTAGGGAAAATTATAAATAGGAGACAACTAGGACTAGAAGATTCTAACTAAACCATCCTAGCAGAATTCTGCCTGGAAGCAGGTTAAGGTGATCAGCCATCATTTGGGGACAGTGGAAGATGAGGAATCTGATGGTATATCAAGGGCAGTCAGATATTGAAGGAAGCAGAGGAAGGGGGTCCTCTAGATAAATTGAATTAGCAAGGCCCCTATCTAAAACTAGATTTTATAAAGAAGTGCACAGTTGGGCCTACACGGATGTTCAGAGCCTAACTAAAGATGGCTATACAAAGAAACAGAAACACTAGAAAAATGTACTTGTTTTGAAATTTTGGATCAGAAATATAACTTAGTAACTGTCTATAGCCAGCCAGATAGATCTAGATTGTACAACTACAGAATTGCTCCTGCATGAATTCATTTGGCTGCTTGCTTAAATATAAGTTTGATGACTCCAAGACACTTAAGAGTAGGTGTTAGTCTTTCCCATTCCCCTGAACTCTTAAGCCATCAAGACTGACAAAAGGTTCCTGTGTTACATGATTACATTCATGTGTCACTTTGGAAAGGGCAGACATGAGAACAAGATCAGCACGGAGTCTAGTACATGAAGAAGGGACTCCTGGTAAGGAGCATGAGCAGCTTTGCAGGTAGTAAAGAGCTCCATGTCTGCTTGTGGGTGGAATGACCATGAAGTCACTTCAGAGGGGAGAATCTTAGTATGCATAGTGTCATCTATAATTCAATAACCTGAGTGTAAATTTTAAAAAGTTCCCAGGCTCCATTCTCAAAAAAACAAAATTATTGCTAGCCAGTTAGATCTGGGTCACATAACAGGAGAATTGCTCCCACAGTCCCTGACAACACTGATTTAGATGTATTTAGTTGCTTATTTGGGATAGATTCATCAAGAGGAGCCCAGTAAATGAAATGTCTAGTGAATCTTGTTTTTTCTCTTCCTCATGTAGCCAGGTTATAGACACTAGGCCTGCCTTCTTTCATGCTTACTCAGAAATAATTCAAGAGCTGGCTTCCCTCAGGTTGACATCTTGCTTCAACTCCTTATTAGGGTGTTTCTGACAGCATAAGGAAATTCTGCTCAGGTCAGTGGTAGCTTCCCAGAATGCTTTAGTGTGGCAGCCCTGTGACAGCATGCCCCTGTCTTCAGATTGGGAAGCAGCAGAAGCCACCGCCTTGATCTCTATGTACCATCAGGCCCAGCCAGGTGTGCAGAATGCTGATCTGACTTAGACCTAAGCTTGGCACCCTTGTAGCCATTGTCTGAATAGGGGCAGTCAGGGTCCTTGACCCCACCACCTGTTCAGCAGGTTCCTCCTTGTCTTCTCCCTGCCAGACTTCTCCCAGTCGGCCTCATGCTGACTCGTTGCTCATATAACTCAAGATCAATATAATTGCAGTGCAAGTTGCCTATTTGCTTCTTTTTAAGATCAATCTCCAGCAGAACTGTAGAAGAGCACACAGAAGGCTAACGCAGCAGGCATGCTTTTCTCTAATAATGCCAAGTGGACATGCTGTAAGTGCTGGAACAGTCAAAGCATAATCTCAAGGTCACAGCATACCATGACAAAAGGAAGCAATGAAGCAGAAAACTTGTTAGTAGCTCCCAAAAGGAATTAGCCAATGTAACCAATACCAGCTAGATACAAAATTAAGTCCACCTTTACTCAATTATTTTCATTTTATTTCCTTCCCTTTAACTAGAAGGTGCTAGAATCTCTAAGGAATTAACAGAGCCTAAGATTTGTTCTGTGTTGACTTTGGTCTCTTACTGCATAGGTACTACCAGGATCAGCAAGGGTTTGAAGGGAAGAGAAGAAGGTAATTGTTCCCTAAAGTTGCCAGAACTTAAAAAAGAACTTCAGGTCAATCAATCCAAATTAAAATGTCCTTTGTTTATTTGTTTGTTTGTTTGTTTGTTTTGATGGGGGGAGGCAGGGCGATTGAGACAGGGTCTCCCTGTAGCCCCAGCTGGCCTGGAACTATGTAGATCAGCTGGCCTCAATCTCACAGAGATCCACCAGCCTCCTGAGTGCTGGATTAAAGGCATGCACCACCACACACAGCTGAGAATGTCCTTTTTGTTTTTCAAATATTTTATTTATTTTTATTTTATGTGTATGAGTGTATTTTCTGCATGTATGTGAGCGCACCTGTGTCCTGCAGTGCCGCGGAGGTCAGAAGAGGGCTTCGGATTCCCCTGGAACTAGAGTTAAGGACAGTTCATAGCCGCCATGTTGGTGCTGGGAATCGAACCTGGGTCCTCTGCAAGAGCAGTCAGTGCTTTTAACTGATGAGCCATCTCTCCAGCCCCAAGAATGTCCTTTTAAGCATACCTTCTTCCTTTTCCATTTGTCCCAACTTTTTAATCACAATTCAAACTAATTGATAAGCTTCCCATGAGGCTTGGGGATCAAAATCCAGAAGTCTTTTTGTTGTTTTTGTTTTTTTAATATTTTATTTATTTGTGTGTGTGAATGTATTGCCTGCATGTGTGTAAGTGCACCCATGTCATACAATTCCTGCAAAAGTGAGAGCATCAGATTCCCCTGGAACTGGAGTTACAGATGGTTGTTAGCCACCATATAGGTGCTGGGAATTGGACCCTGGTCTTCTGCAAGAGCAGCCAGTGCTCTTAACCACTGAGCCATCTCTCCAGCCCCTTTGTTTTTGTTTTTCATTGTGTATTCATAGATACCAAATGGCCATATCTTTTCCCAAAGGAGGAAGGAGAAAAAAAACCTGAATTTTAAGATCACTTATGGGCTGTTAGGTAGCTCAATAGATAAAGTACTTACTGTACAAGCATAAGGACCTAAATTCAATGTCCAGAACCCATGTAAAAAACCAGGCATGGTGGTGCACACCTGTAATCCTAGTGCTGGGAGGGCAGCAGAGACAGGCAGATCCATAAGGAGTGCTGGGCATCCAGCCTAGCTGAATCAACGCTCCAGGTTCAGTAAGAGACCTTGTCTCAAAAAACAATGTGGACAGTTCCTGAGGAACAACACCCAAGGTTGACCTCTAGGCCTACACACACACACATACATACACACACAAATAAAAGTAAGGGGCTGGAGAGATGGCTTAGTGGTTACAAGCACTGGCTGCTCTTGCAGAGGACCGTGGGGGGGGTGGGCAGGAGGGAGGGAGGGATGGATTAAATGAATGGTAAAAGAGGCATTAGTAAGGAAATGCCTTGCCAATGCTTTTTGCCAAAACTTTATGTGGCAAATACCAGCTCTTTGACCACCCCTAAATCAAGACACATAGTACCATTGAGGGAGGACTAGATGGAGCCCAGAGGGTGGGGTTTCATCCTGAGGATTATCCTGTGCAGCCATGTTGAGCAGAAAGCTGAAATCCTAGTCAGGACAGATCAGCCCTCTGGGAGGTTTGTGGACCCAAACCAGAGCCCAGAGAAGGCCCGGCTGAAGTCCTCACCTGTCATCACTAAGGCATCCGGAGGCACCACATTCCCTGTCACAGATGGAGTCCAGCTGACTTGGCCCTCAGACCTTTTCTTTGGAGAATTGACAAAGCTGGTGTTTCTAGGCAGTTGGGCCCCCAGAGAATGCTGAAATCAGGGTGGAGTTGCAAAGCCTGACCTTCCTCTACAAGTACGAGTGGTTTTGTCATTACAGAAATATCTCCACCTGTGAGGTGACTTCTTCACAGGCCATCAGCTCCCCTCAGCGATCCAAGCGCGTCAAGGAGAACACACCCCCACGCTGTGCTGTGGTGCGTAGCAGCCCAGCCTGCAGTACTTCTGTCACCTGTGGGTGGGGTGATGTGGCCTCCAGCACCACCAGGGAGCGGCAGCGACAGACGATTGTCATCCCTGACACCCCCAGCCCCACCGTCAGTGTCATCACCATCAGCAGTGACACAGATGAGGAGGAAGAGCAGAAACACGCCCCCAGCAGGTGAGGTTGTGACTTCTACACTCAGGAAGGAGCTGAGGGCAGGTGCTGTAGTGTACCTGCCATTATCCAGGGATCTGGTCCATTTTCCTTAAAACACAGTGATTGTTTCCTGTCTACCCATAAGTTTTCATTTTGCTCTGTTCTTGCATCCTAAACTTATTTCATGAGAATGACAAACAGGTTTGCTGTAATGTTCAAAAACAAAATAATTTTGAGTGAGTTTGACCTTAAAAAATAGTTATGCCGGGTATGGTGGCATACACCTTTAATCCCAGCACTTGGAAGGCAGAGGCAGGTGGATCTCTGTGAGTTCAAGGCCAGCCTGGTCTACATAGTGAGCTCCAGGACAGCTGGGGCTACAGGGAGACCCTGTCTCAAAAAGACCAAAAAATAAATAAATAAATAGTTACAGTCCCTAAACATTTGGAAATACAAGACAGTAAAGTCAGGCTCACAATACCAGTTTATTTCAGTCGTTATAAGCTTAAAAATCTCTGCCTCGGGTTATTGAGGTACAGTTGATTGGGCTATATCTCTAACATTGCCTTGGTTCACTCAGAATTTGAAGTAATTGTCCAATTAGGAATTTCCCTTTGTCTGATTAACCCAGTCTTTCTTGGCTCTTCATCCAAAGAGCATTACTATTTATTCCAATGTAGTAATAATTCATTTTACTCTATGTATGCTTCCTGGGTAGAGGAGAGAAATATTTATTATATTTGCAAGACTAGTAACACTGGCACCAGATCCTCTTTTCTGTGCTTTGCAGCCAGACTCCAGCAACATGTGCCTTCTGTTTGGGCTGTCAGCTCAAGTGCCCAGCCTGATGTACCTTGGCCTTTTGCACCCCCAGAGACCTTAGGCCTCACAGAACTTGAAGTCTCACAACCCTACCCTGCTGGTGCTTTTGCACTAGAGCCAAGACCAGGGAAGGGGGCCTGCCACCCCAAGCCAGGGCGTCTAACTGTCATATGTCTCACAACTGACTGCAAAGCTCAATAGTCACAATTAGGCCAAATTGGGTTCCTGATTGCATACAATAATGATAATTTTTGATCACAAATGTTTTTGATTAGATAATAAATTTTCATGCTTGAAGTCATTACAAAATGTTCAGATCAAGTGATTTCAGCATTCTCATCATAGCTGTTCCCACAAGGCACATCCCTTCCTGTCTTTCGGATGGTGTTCATCTTCTGGGTTTTTCATGGATAGGGCTAGTATATGTCCTATTCATGTGTGCTCTTTCCTGTTGAATGGCTCAGTGTGATTATTAGTGTCTATTTTGGATAACATAGTATTGTGTTTCTGTTCCTGCTATTTGCCAAGTATCAGAAGGGGACACAGAGTTGGGGAGACCAGGCACATGTTTTTGTACGTCAGTATTATTTTACTCCCCATCTGCTTGTCCCAGGACTGGCCTTAGTTTCCTTTGTGTTTACACCAATTTGAGTCAGTGTTCCGTCCCTCCAAACCTGAGAATCTTAAGGGCTTGGTCTCCTCCAAAAGAGGAAGGTTCTTCCCAGTGCCAGACTGGGCACTGGCCTGGGGCAGCCTGTGCATGCATTTGTAGCACTGGCCATAAGAGAAGCTGAACAACCTTGAGCACAGCTGGAGAAATGCAAAAGCAATTTTAAAATCTAGCCGTCAACTAGATTGGAATGTCATTTTTGAAGTCTGAGATTTAAATTGACACCAACCCTGGACTTAAGTGCTCAAGAGAGAATTGAATAGAGTGCAGGAGGACAGAGAGGATGAGAGCCATCTCTCCAGCAGCCAGAAAGCTAACAGGGCTGAAAGCAGAGGCGAGTTGAACGCATACCTGCTTCTCCAGAAGCCCCTAAGCCCCAGGAGGAAATAGCTGAATGTGTGGCAGCTTGTGAGGACCATGATGAAAATAACTCAGGAAGACTTAAAGGAAAAGAGTCAGCAGCTGATGAGTAGATGACATGGGAGGAGCAACCACTAACTGCAGCAATGGGCTGCTCAGCCCAGTGGCTTCACACAGTGCCAAATGAAGGGACCGCCACCCTTCTTGAAGAGTGAAAACTTGTTAGAGATGTTTCTGCCAAGTGGCAAGTTGCAAGCTGAAGCCACAGAGTGATGGTGAAGGGCCCCAGCTACCTATTGTGGTGACAGGGAGCTTGCAGAGAAAGTTGCAATAATAATATTTTCTGCAGAGATAAATGGCTGTTGCCTTGGAAAATGTTTTAGTACCCAAGAAGATAGGAAAGTCTATTTGAGTCTATGTGGGATTAAAAAAAAAAAAAGAAACAGCAGCAGCCAGTAGCTGTCCTATTTATAGAGAAACCACTGTGTAATTGTGACTACATTTAGGAATGAGGAAAAGTGGGGGTGGGGAGGCACAGAAATATGATTACTTGTTTTTAGAAATCAAAATTACTATAATATTTAACACAGTGAATATTTACTGGCCCCACCAGTGTGAGGCGCTATGCCTGGAACTGCAGGTGTTATGTAAATAAGGGGGGGACAGTCTGTCCTTAGGCTTGCAGGGTAATGAGCAGGATAAGACATGTACACATCACTCCAACACAGAAGCAGAGTGTCCATTCCAGAGAAACTAACAAAGTACTCAGGGAAGTCGAGGGGAAAATATGGCTTAAAGAAGTATGGGGGAAACCGGGTGTGGTGGCGCATGTCTGTAGTCCCAGCGCTCAGGAGGCAGAGGCAGGCGGATCTCTGTGAGTTCAAGGCCAGCCTGGTCTACATAGTGAGTTCCAGGACAGCTGGGGCTACAGGGAGACCCTACTTCAAAAAGACAAAAAAAAAAAAAAAAGTATGGGGGAGGGGCTTTTTCGAGACTAGAGGTCCAAGAACACATGGACAAGCAGTAGAGAGAAACGAGTTGGAGGAAATGGATTTTGAAATGCAAGGGGGTGAGGGCTTTGCCAGAAGGCTCTAAGGAGCTCAAGGAAAAGTGTCTGTCCTAGAAAAACAAGTTTCCGCTAAACAGAAAGCACTTAGCCATGGACTCTACAACTGAACACCATTCCTTGCCTTCCTAGTTCCAGTTTGAGCACTGGAGAGTCTTGATTCTCCTATCTTCCTGACTTAACTCTCCACTTGGTACTTGATTCTCCTGTCTTCCTGACTTAACTCCCCACTTGGTACTTAGCCCAAGTCTAGCATTTCCAGTTCCCAGTGTTGTCCTGAAATGCTGGTTATTTCCTTCGCATGGGTCAGCCTCGGCACAACAGCTGAAGGAAGAGTCAGGGGTCGAGGAAAATTAACAGGGATAGCAGAGCCACAGCACAAAGTGCTTGCTAGCAGCAGATAAATGGTTACCCACTTTTTAGAACTTTTTGACTGAGTCATTCAATAACCAAGACAATATTGCTTAGAATTTTTAATGTAATTTAATTTTACTATATATATATAATTTTTTTGAGAATTTCATACATGGGTATTGTTTTTGTATCATTTCTACCCCTACCAGCCCCACTCCAACTTCTCCCATGCCCCCCACTGCCTCTCAATTTCTTGTCTACTTCCTTATGATTTTTATGTATATATACATACATTTTTATATATATAGAAAATGCACTGAGTCCACTTAGTGGTGTTCATGCACCTCCACTTGGGATTAAGTAACCTAGCAGGGAGCTAGTCCCTAGAGAAAACGGCCTAGAATTTTTAAAAGAATGTTGAAAGAAGATCATTATTCCTGACCCCAAATATGGGGCATAGTTGCCAGACCAAATAACCAGGCATAACTCCCAACAGTCAGGAGAATTCCATAGCACCTAGGAGGCACAGGATCACAGCAGATCTTCACACGTACTCTCACTGCAGTGTGTACTTATCACTTGGGACATGCAAGACCATAATTCCTATTCCCATTTGATAAGGGAGGGCCGGGAAAGCTAAGTGTCTAATAAAGGTTCAAATAGCAGAATTGGATTCAGGAGATACCATACCATTGAAGAAAAAGATTTAAACAGACAAAATAACCAATTTCTCTTAGTCACTAGCTTAAAACTATTGGTTCTGCCCTACCCCCTCCTGTGACCACCTCCATGTTAGCACTCCATGTGTACAGGGAGCAATGCCAGGGCTATGAAGAGTTCAGAGCATTACGTAGAATCCCCATTGGTGGCCAGGCACTCATGAAAGTGCAGGTGCTGCCTCAGGAAATGGGCAGGAGTAAGTGGGCTCTTTTAATTGTCATAGAACTTTGTTGTTGTTTGAGACAGGGTCTCCCTGCAGCTTCAGCTGGCCTGGAACTTGCTATGTAGAACAGGCTGGACTCCATCTTGGAGAGATCTGCCCACCTCTGCCTCCCAAGTGCTGGGATTAAAGGCATGCAACACCTTCTTTTATAGTTTTAAAAGATGGATGGGTTGGAAAGATGGCTCAGTGGTTAGGGGCACTGGCTGCTCTTGCAGAGCTCTGACCTGGGTTTGGTTCCCAGCACCCATACAACAATCTGTAACTCAAGTTCCAGGGGATCCAGTGCCCTCTTCTGACTTCCTCAAGCATTACACAACACAGGTGCAATCACACACGTGCAGACAATACATACACTCATATGCATAACATAAAACTAATGCATAAAATATTTTTTTAAAAAAGATAGTGGCTCAGTGGTAGAGTGCTTACCCAGAATGCATGAGACTTTGGTTCCAGTACTCCCCCCAAAAGTTGAACCAAGATGTTTTGCTTCTTTACACTAAATTGAAAAGGTAGTGAAATTATTCTAGTAAGGCACAGTCAAAAACGGATAAACTGTTGCTCAAATGACTTCTGCCTAAAGAATGAATAACCAGAAGTCAAAAAGTCAACCCAGCTTGGAATTTCTTTGCATTGACACCCACAACCATGGTGTAAGTTTACCACCTTCCTGTACTGGATAAGAAGCTGAACAACCAGAATCAAACTACACTTCTGGGCCAGTGCAGTTCAACTGGAGGAAAGGAACAAAGGAACCAGGCACACAGTATCACATGAGGGGACTTTGCTTCAAGTTACAATGACTC